TGTGGATTGCGGACGGCGGCAACCTCCGTCCCAAACTCAATGCATGTAGTCTTATGGTAGAAACACCTAACAGCGCTGAGGGTGCCGTGACGTCATTCCAATGCTTTACAATAGGGACTCTGGGGCAGAGTCCAAAGCTGCGCGCGCATCCATAAATCAGGGCAGCCACCCTAAACTGGATAATTCTGCATCACACACGATTAGGATAGGAAGAACCATGTTGGCAGCGCTGGAGCCATCATCCACACTGTCACTACCATAAACATTAACTAACCTCACTTCTTTCCATGTCCATGACCACAGTTCAGTTATAGTTTAGTGCCAAACGACCTGTTGTTTTGTGATCAATAGTGTTTAGTGATAGTGATGGAGGCGTAAGGAAGGCAGCGGTAGTTTGTTGAAGATTGAAAGAGCTAAGTAGAAATTATTAATAGTTATACTTAATTGATTGAGTTAGTTAGTTGGTATCTTTGAGTCAATAAGTTACGTCTGTAGTTTTAGTATAGGCTAACCTAATCAACCCGAAAACTAAGTAAACTAACCATAGGTAAAGTGACTCGGACAATTTTAGTTATAGTTACCTATTATTAGTCTTAATAAGTTATTACGGGTAAATTTGCCGTGGGTTGAAGGCCTAAATCTAAATAATAATGGACGGCGGCATTTCGTTGTCGTCGACGGCTAACGTCACTAACGAAGTTAGCCTGATTATCAATGAAGGGATCAAAAATATTGACCACAGAATTTCTTTGAAAAAATTAGGACCTCCTAGACCTTTCATGAACATAAACCAAATTCAAAACAGTTCAAAGAATAAGAATAGCTTCACACGAAAATTTTCGCCACATATGTACAATCATGCAGATTGGCTATGTGGTTGTTCAATTAAAAATTCATTTTTCTGCTACACTTGTTTGGTCATGGGGGTTCAAGATAGAGCATGGACTGTAGACGGCATTTCAGACCTTAAACATCTACTGGAAAAAGTAAAAAAACACAAAACAAGTGAAAAACACATAAATGCGTCAATAGAATATGCTGTTTTAGGTAAAGTTGATATTAGATGCCAATTGGACAATGCATATAGGTTAAAAATACAAAAACAAAATGAAGATGTTTCGAAAAATCGATACATTCTAAGTAAGCTAATTGATGCAATTAAATTTTGTGGAGCGTTTGAATTAGCATTACGAGGACATGATGAACGCGAAAATTCAAAAAATCCTGGCATATTTCGTGGTTTGGTTAACCTTATGGCGGAGCTGGATGTAACATTGCAACAGCACATAAATCAAACAAATAACCGAGTGTTTTTGGGTCTGTCTAAAACCATACAGAACGAGTTATTGGACTCAATATATTACGTTTGTCTGCAAATGATTCGTGATGAATTGACACAAACCGACTATGTTGCTATTGAAGCCGACGAAACAACAGACTGTGCCACTTTATCTCAACTAGTATTTGTTATTAGGTACGAGCTGAATGGCACGATTCACGAGCGATTTATCACTTTTATTAGACCAAAAGGCCATGATGCAGAATCAGTTAGCGAAACAATTTTTGAAGTATTAGAGCAATTAAACCTCGACAAAACTCCTGATAAAGTCATTGCCCAGAGCTACGATGGGGCTTCCGTAATGAGTGGCCAACACACGGGAGTACAAGCGCGTGTAAAATCTAAATATAAGAATGCAAATTTTGTCCACTGTTACGCACATCAATTAAACTTAATCATTGAACGCAGTGCTACACAAAATAAGCAGGTTAAGATATTCTTCAGTAATATCGAGGGGTTTTCATCATTCTTTTCCCAGTCAACAAAGAGAACTGCAGTTCTCGATGAGATAGTAAAACGTCGTATTCCAAAAAGCTCAGGTACTCGGTGGAATTTTAAATCCAGAATTGTAAGCACAATTTTTAATTATCAAAGAGAGTTGGAGGAATGTTTAAGTTACATACTCGACGATGACACCAATGACTATGCCACAATAAATAAAGCTGTTGGCCTAAGAAGTATTCTAAAAGACGAAGACTTTATTTTCTGGCTGGACTTTTTCAATCAAATACTGCCCCACAGTGACATTCTGTACAACCAACTGCAGCAAACAACAATTGATTGCGTCAAGGCGTTTAAGTTTGTCGGCGATTTCAAAACTGTGGTAGATCGCGTAAGAAACTCGACCATGTTAGATCAACCGAGAGATAGTGAACCCGAATCGAGCAAAAAGCGGAGAAGACACGACGATCAAAAACGCGTCGTCGCAAAGGAAGTGTGTGACATAATTACGTCGGGAATTGATGACCGTTTTACGTTTGTAAATCATTTGTCCGCGGCAAAACTGTTTCAGCCAAGTTTGTTTGGGGAGTTTAAAACCAAGTTTCCCGAAAAAGAGTTACACGCTGCTGCGGAACTATTTAGCCTAAATAAAACTGAATTGAAACAGGAGTTAAATGTTATTTACAATAGGGATGATTTTTCAACGGCCACAGGGTCATTAAGACTACTCAACTTTGTCTATGACAACAACCTCAAAGATGTGCTTCCAGAGTCAATCAAACTTTTAAAAATCATAAGCACAATACCTATGACTACTTCGGAAAGTGAACGTTGTTTCTCTACTTTGAAACGAATTAAAACGTTTACCAGGAGTACCATGAAACAAGACAGACTAAGTGCGCTTGCTATGTGTTCTATCGAAAAAAAGCTGTTGTCAACTTCAAACTTCAACGAAAAAGTAATAGATCACTTCGCCAGGCAGAAAGAAAGAAGGATGGATTTCACATTCAAACAGTACAATTAAAGTTAGGCCTTACCCTCATGGTTTGGTTTTCTATTCGTTATTGCCGTGGGTGTTTAAATTATACAATTCAATCAATGTCAGGCCTTACCGTTTGGTTATCTACTCATTATTGCCGTGGATTTTTTACTATTAAATTATCAATTGTTAGTTATATTTTCAATACAGTGTAGTCCCGTTTTACAAGGCCGTAGGCAGGGAGGGGGGTTAGAGGGTCAAACCCCTCCCCCAAAATTCCGAAATTGAGCAGTACAAATTAAAACTAGGTTTAAAAAGTTGAATTATGAAATAGAAACCACAATAGAGGATTAATTGTTATGTTTTGCAATATCTATTCATATTTAATATAGGCGTAGTTCTATTAGGATAATAAATCTGATCTATTAAATAAATTGGTAAAAACTATTTAAAAAATATACTTTACTTTACTCTACTTATGTCTATTTGCTCATGCATGACAAACAACAGGTGAAATGGGAGTTTTTGGACTATTATTGGACACAGTTTTAGCGTTAAAATGCACCCCCCAAACCCCCCGGAGCCCCCCCCCTAGACTAGGTCCTAGAGCCGCCACTGCTAAACACGGAACGACTCAACTCAAAAGACACGTAAAAATCAACATGAAAACAATGAGTTTCAAATGGCGTGTCAGTATACATTGAGATCGAAATACTGCATCTTCATACAAATCCTCTAGTGAAAACATGAGCACCGAATGATGCAATCGGCGCCATTTTTGTGCAGTTGAGAACCTATTGGTGGTCCTATATAAAATGAGATTCAAAAGCTGTTGTCGTTTTCGATCTCAGCCGTGAGATCCTATTATACGACAAGTATGCCAAATGAGAACTGATTTAACGTTCTTTATATCTACACAAAAAAAAGGTCATCCAAATCAGAGGATCAGTCTCTGTCTGTAAGATCATCCTCTGTTTGTGACGTCATAGACACACCTCCCTTCCCGACCTACCTCAACCCACGTCGTCTACACTCCTCCCTCCTCTGTCCTGAGATCGAAATACTGCATCTTCATACAAATCCTCTAGTGAAAACATGAGCACCGAATGATGCAATCGGCGCCATTTTTGTGCAGTTGAGAACCTATTGGTGGTCCTATATAAAATGAGATTCAAAAGCTGTTGTCGTTTTCGATCTCAGCCGTGAGATCCTATTATACGACAAGTATACCAAATGAGAACTGATTTAACGTTCTTTATATCTACACAAAAAAAGGTCATCCAAATCAGAGGATCAGTCTCTGTCTGTAAGATCATCCTCTGTTTGTGACGTCATGGACACACCTCCCTTCCCGACCTACGTTAACCCACGTGGTCTACACTCCTCCCTCCTCTGTCCTAGAACGTACAAAATGACTACTACTTGTCCATTAGCATGATAACTCAAGTAAAGATCATCCTATTTAGATGAAATTTTGTACAAACATTTAAACCTATATTTATTCAAACAAGTTCGCAAACCAGCATTGTCGGCCCATGGGAACGGGGTTTGATGAGGTGTTTTGTTACTGTTTAAAAGCACTATAAATTGTTTAACTTTTTAAAATTCAGATTGGGAAAAAAGTCCCGGGACGAATAAATATCTTGAAAACAAGAAAGATAGAGCTACAAATCTTTAAACAAAGTTACTGGGCACAGAACTATTTTAACACATTATTCAGTGACACTTCCTCCTCGGGGGACGGCCTGCTAGGAGTCAGAAAAAACTATTTATTGTGTTTAAAAACACAATACATTAAAAAGTATGCCTACTGTATTTATTTTGCAGAAATGGTAATTTAGAATTATTTCAAGTCTATGAAGTCTAATTTTTGGTGCTGGATAAACCAAACCAACATAAAAAATATGGGTTCAGAACATAAAAAATACATGTACGCACAAAACTTTGAGTAATGGAGGTACATTATAACACTTATAAAAGGGTAATCTTTGAGTTAATTAGACTCGTGAAAAGGAAACTTTGAGTAACGTTTAGTATCATTGCTTTAAATGTCAAAGTTCTACTGATCAAGGTTAAATATTTAAAACCTTCAACTTATAAAGGTTCTTTAAGCGTTGTGAGTTACTGGGATTCCATGGGGATTATCAAAAATTTACAATATCAAGGAATTTGAGATATCAAGGTTCGAGCTATTAAGGTCCTGTTGTGTTTTGTATTTTTGTGTAATGACATTCCTTGTAGGCAACTGGGGTTGTGGAGCATTTAATGGTGACGCATGTCTCAAGTCCCTTCTACAGCTAATGGCCGCTGGTGTGGCGGGTCGTGATGTTGCATACTTCACCTTCAGTAACAAGGAACTTCGGGACCAAGTTGCAAACATGCACAACTTTCTTACTCAGCACCAAATAACTGTTGGTAAGTAGATGTTACTAACCATACAATTAAAGGATTTATCACATTTCACATATTGATAATAGATGCAGCTCAGTTTTGATGGTTTTGTTTCTTGATGTTAATCATGTTTTCATAAAAAAAAAACTGGTTTTTTAAGAGTCCTTGGAGCCTAGATGTTCTAACTCATAAAACTATTAAAGAACTACAAAGAAAAATGTCTAATCTCACAGTATACTAGATATTTAAAATTACAATCACTCTGGTGTTCAAACAAATATTTTTGGACGGTAAATAACTCTTCAGGGGCTGTTTGAAATTAACATTTCTCTTATGGTGGGCAAATCCAAGATGGTCGATAGCTGACATGGACTGGGTCCAGTTCTTGCAAGGCTCACGAGACGCTCTGTGGCGCACAATTCTATTGCCTGTCATGGCGTGACGTCACTCTCTTCTCTTGAGGGAACACCATTACCGCAACGATACAAAGTGAAGCCTTCGGTGTTCGTGGTGTAGTGAATAGAGTACTCAGCTGATGTCCAAGAGGTAACCAGATCGAAACTCACCGGTAAATCGAACTTTTTGTCAGAGATTTTTTGCTTACAATGCGATTACTTCTTAACTGTATATCTTTTGTTAGAATTTGAGGCATTTATGCGATTTTATTTTATGAACAGTACTATTTTTCAATCAGTTCATTAAATTTTTTTGATTATCAGCAAGTTTGGTTAGTTAGGTTAGGTTATGACAGTATAATTTTATAATTAAGTATGACGTCATGGATCTACGGACCATCAATATGACGTCACGGATGGCTCCTGTGAGCCTGTCCAGAACGCGACCCGACATGGACTCCCTTGGAGAACAATTCCAAACTACAAAGAACATTTTTAATCTCACAGTATAGTATACTAGATATTTAAATTATAATAACTTTGGTGTTTGAAAAAATATTTTTGGATGATAAATAACTCTTCAGAAGCTGTTTGAAACCATCCAAGATGGCCGCTAGCCTCCAAGGACTTTTAATGGTATTCTATAACTTTAATCATTACCTCCCAATGTGCCTGTTCTACGGACAGGAATCAGAATCAAAAATCTTTATTCATATAGGCCTAGTATGTATACACACGAATAGTGTCAAATGTCAATGTTAGATTACAGCCAATTAAAACATTTTTGTGTTATTTTACAGAAATTAGATACAGTTTTATTGTTTGTTTTCCTAGCAGAGCATCTCAACATTTTACATCTTACCTTTTATCTTTTTTACATTTTTCCAAGAGCAAGGCAATAGAAATGAAAATCAATCACTTGTAGGCCTGATGTTCCAATTTTTTATTTTAGTTTAGTTACACCTAAGCAAGTTGTCAAAATATTTAAGTCACTAAGCGATAAAAAACGGCTGGTTGGGATAAGATTTCACTTGTCGAGGTTTAAAAAAAAAATAGGTCTAGCTTCTTCTTTTAACTCAATGTGTCCTTGTTCTGAAGTAATTTTTCTGATTGGTTGTGAAAATTTCTTGAAACTCTGTTAATAATTTGTCCATTTTTTTACAATCACTCTCAACCACTTGTATATCTGCCCAATCCATTTTTACTTCTCTCAGCCACTATCTTCCAATTATTGGCTCAACCTCTTGCCTCAGGATGTACAATTTTCCAAAGGAATTAAAATCTCTGTATTTACAATCAACAAAACAAACTCCAAGAGGCTTGATGATTTCACCAGTATATGTTTTCATCTCAACAGCAGTTTTGAAAAGACGTTTATTCACATGTAGTGATAGAAAATCGCTGTAAGATATTGAGCTTAACGCTGCTCCTGTATCAAGTTTTATTTTCAGCTTCTTTCCCTCAATGTCCACATCTATTTAAAACTTATTAACTTCGTGGATTGACAAATGTTTATCCTCAATATCATATAAGTTCAATTTTTTTTGGGTTGTTTTTTTTCCATTTTTGACATCAGTTCCACTGCTAGATAAAGCAAACCCTTAAAATAAGTCCAATCTTATTACATTTCCTAAAGAATTCTTTTTTAAATTTGCATAAATTAGCCTTATGCTGTTCACTGCCTTTGTAATGCCGGAAATACTATTTAGTTGGTTTTCTGATAGTTTGTTTTACTTACTAGTTTGAAGATAGTTTGTAGAACTTAACTCAAACTAGCTGTTACCCACGAGCTTCACCCCGTTTGACTTCACAAGTATTTATAAAAATATTGATTGGTTAAGTTAAGCTGAAATAAATAAAACAGAAAACAGTAATACAAACAAATAATCACACCTGATTTTAATAAGGTAGTACATTGAAAGAATAACATACAAATAAGTACAGCTGAGGTATTTTTAGCATTAGGTATATGGAAAGTTCCCTTTAGAAAGGGATTACTACCTTAAAGGGCAATTTATGAGTTTTGCGCAAGGTTTCTCGTCATGGCAAACATTTTAAGTATATGGTTTATGGGGTTGTGACTTGTAGTTTTCTCAAAAGTTCATGGGTACTTTGGGGTTTATATATGGATTTTTACTACAGGCATGTTCAAGATTTCGGTAATTTATAGCTGAAATGAAATTAGTAGTAGTTATTTAAAAAAAAAAGTATTTTGAGATTTCATAAATGTACCAAAGAAATGTTAATGGTTAAGGTCTGGGTGTTACAATGTTGTTGTTTCAGGTTGTTTGTGGAAGATCCTGACTTGCTACAGTCCACTGCAGCATCGTCACAGTCTCTACGGCCACATTTACAAGACAGTCAGTGGCGACCCAAGTATGGAAATTAGTGTAATAATGCATGCTTATACTACTTTTTCTTCAGCAAAATGTATGACTTGTCCTGCCTGACTGTCTAGTGCAGCCAAGAGGCTATGAAGCCACTAGGCTGCAGAGATTGAGATCCATGATAAGAAGGGATCTGTTAAACTCTGTTTGGATTCCAATTTTAATGTACGGTAAGATGGGTGTAAACCATAAGGCTAGGCGCACACGAGCGATTATTTTGAGGCGACTATTTCATCGGCCGAACTGTGCATCATGTATTTGAATGGAAGCGCGCACACAGGCGATCGAGAATTGCGCCGATTTTAAAATCTGGGTTTTGCCACAGATTCGTAGGCGAGGCGATTGTCGCCCGAAAATCTGTAACGTACGATTGTTATTAGTCCGCGCACACGGTCGACTAAAAAATCGGCCAGTCGCTTATTGTTCTCTACAGGAGTCAGTGAACTTCAGTGTGAGTTGTGTTGTTTTCTTTGCTAAAAAAGGCCACAGCTGTTATAATAAAAACTGAAACTTTCAACAGACATTCTATAGTAATTAAATAACTTTTTACTGTCATCACGTAAAGTGTATAGGTTCTAAAACTGTCGATTTAAAAGTATCTGACTTACTATCGGATGAACCCAATATTTATGTTGTCTTATTTTTTTCTTTGGTCTAATTAGAATAGCACAAACACAGGTTAATTCAACAAAGTCCATTTTAAACACACTCAAAAAATCCTTTTCTCGACTAAAAAATCGCCACGTGTGCGCCTAGACATAAATCAAGGGCGATTTATTTTTGGCCGATTTTTTAATCGGCCAATCGAAAAATCGACCGTGTGCGCCAGGCCTAAGAGATCATTTCCACAATGTGCATGTAGCCTTTTTGAACAGAGAAGATATTCTACACTTACCTATCCTCTTTATGAGCTACCTATGTGACATTTACTCTTCGCAAGCAGTGAGACATATATTAAACACATTTTCATACACAGAGCCCATGGACAAATAAAATATCACAATAATGTAGCACTTATATGTCTATATATATACAGGGTGATCAACTCAAGGAGGCCACCATTGGGATATCGAAAACGGTAAGAATTAGAGAAAACTTTAAATGGGGGACATTCCTTTATTTTTTGTGGCAGTTAAAAATATGATTTTATTTTTTTGAAATTCAGCTACAGATACAGGAGCTACATGATGTAAAATGTACACCGGAAGTCATTTTTCCATAGGCTGTAACTCTTAAACGAGTGGGTTTATCAAAAAAATGTCAAGAATAAAAAGGTTTTTAAATTGCCTGTTCTATCCGAAAACATGATAAAATATGTTCCATAAGAAATTTCAAAGTTGGCCGCCATTTTGGAAAATGGCGACTGAATTTCGAAAAAATAAAATCATATTTTTAACTGCCACAAAAAATGAAGGAATGTCTCCCATTTAAAGTTTTCTATAATTCTTACCGTTTCCGATATCCCAATGGTGGCCTCCTTGAGTTGATCACCCTGTATATATATATATAAATAAAATTAGAGTTTTGTCTGTATATATATATATACATGTATATATTTTTTTTGCCATCCCAGTTTTAAGAATTTGAATTATATTAGATTACTTTTGTTGTTGTAGCCTGTAGTTCTTGAGTTGGTAGGATGTTTGCGTCTTCCTATGCATTTTGCTAGCTTGTGTGGCATCTTCAAAGGTGTTCTTAAGTTATCTTCTCTTCATTAACACTATAGTCTCTATTTACAAAAATATTTAATCACGCCGTCATTAGAGTCACGGTCGGGTCAATTGGACAACACGATGAAGGACATGCTTCCAGTTTTATTAGCTGTATATTTCAACGTCATTGAAACTCACAAAACTGGAAACACAGCATCAAACCGGCAACACTACAGAGATCAAAGCAAAGCACTCGCCCGACCTTAAACCAGGAAAGTCAAGACCTCCCGCCGTGACTCTGCTGCATGTCCATCGTGATGTTGTCCAATCGACCCACCTGCAATACTAGTGATCGCGTGTGTAAAAATAGACTATAGTTTTAGTGATAAGAAGATAACTTACGAAGAAGACCCCTGAAGATGCCACACAAGCAGGCAAAATGCACAGGGTGACACAAACATCTTACTCAAGAACTACAGGCTACAACAACAAAGATATTCTAACACTGGACTGTGATATTTTTTTCCTAATTTAGGACTTTTTCATTTCAAATCTACACTTCAAATCTTGATCACAGCTACTTTAGAAAACTGACTGCTCTCCAAAATGTTATGTACTTGTATTGATAATTTTCTTTCTTTCAGTTCCATCATCCTTGAACTGCAAGCCTCATTTTACTCCAAATAAACCAAGGCTTAAAGACAAGAGTAAAGATATCCAAATAGAGAAACCTGCCAAAAGCAGCAATGAGCAAAAACTTAGCATTGATGAGATTGAACAGGAGTTGGAAAATGTGAAAGATTCAATCCAAGAGGAAAATGAACAAGGCGTCAAACCTCTTGAAGCAAAGACTTTAAACGTTCACAATGATAAAGAGCTTTGTCTCAAGAGGCTAAGTAGCAGCTGGAACAACTTAAATGAGTCCAAGAAAGATTTTGGACCGAGTGATCATTCAAGGACATCTGAACTTAAGAATGATACTAGGCAAGTTACAGATTCTTCTAAAAGTATCACTAAAAAGAAGAAAATATCAGATTACTTTCAACCAGCATCTAAATCATAAAGCTCATTATTGCCATTTTAAATATTGTATATACCTTGTAAAACTTGTAAAAAGTCATATTTTTTGTACAAAGTACAATATAATATCTATTTTTATAATGGTGGTGTATTTATTGGGGGATTCATTTATTATCAAGAGTTTGTAACTGTAACTGCACAAATCATGTGAAGGATATAATATGAAGGATGGCTTGAAACACTTAAGCTATACAGTTTTTCTTTTTCCATTCATACAACAAACTAGAAAACAAATGTTAATGTAAATCATCAACCCAACTATATTTTTGTGTTTTGGTAAGTAGATATTACTAAATACACACATTAAATAAATAAATATAGGATGGAGAGGACACAGCTAACTCACCTGATGAAAGGTTGCAGACGAGTCAAAGAACACATAAAATCACACACATAATATACTTAATATTTCGCCTCTTTCAGAGGCTTCTTCAGAAGTAGGCCTAGATGGTAGTTACAAAACAACAGTTTAAATTAGAGGTGGGAACAAAGTACTGGAATCGTTACTTTGTAATCATTACATGGTTGGTGCTAAAGTAATCGTTACTCAAGTATCAGAGTACCGGTTCCGATTACTTCGTTACAGTAGCAAATCGATGTGCCTGGAATCGTTTAGAGAAGATGATTCCAAGCCGTTTCGATTCCGTAAATGAGTCCAGCTACCAGCTTGCTTGACAAGCGAGATAACCCCATTCCACAGTCCAGTCCAACACTTATAAATATTGCATTGAAGTTGATCCCAAAGAGCTTCGCTTCGCTCCGCTTAACTAACTCCGCCACCACCTCGCACCCGTGGGTGAACAGTTGATATTTTTGAATGCGAAATCCAAATCAGTTTATAGGATTAAATTAATCCACTATGATTTAAAAAAAATGTTAGTTAAAATTGTGTTGATTACAATTAATGTGCAAAAACATATCTCGTAGTTTTGCTTATTCTAACCTTCCTTAGAATGATTTAATTGTTACAAATTGCTACAGTAATTGATTGTATAAATTTGTGTAATAATATACAAATTTTAATTAATTAATGATAGATTAGATGATTGATTAATTGATTAATGATTAATAATTCATTAATCCTATATTTTGGAAACTCATTTAAATTGTATTTATTGCGATACAAACCAAAAAAATATTTATTTGGCTTCAGTAAACTTTGATTCAAAAGGCGTTACTGTAACTGGAATACATCGGAGTATCAATACCATGACGATTACGAGTGCAATCGGTCGATTGCGGCTACTCTGTAACGGCGGTAACGAAGTAATCGTTTGGAATCGGAACGGTTACTTGTAATGAGTCCACGAGTGTAGCTGGAATCATTGTAGCGGCTACATCGATGGAATCATTTAGCCCATCTCTAGTTTAAATAGGATGACACAGTTTGAATTCAAAATGTCTGACAGGTTGTCCAACTGACACTGCACAAAGCACTAAATACAGGCACATTGCAATATTGTATTTACATATAATATGTATATTGAAAAGCAAATTAGTTTTGTCCATGAAAATAAATACTTAAGAGTTAGCTGTGAGGGTGAGGATATTATCTAATGTTGAGGTTAGGTGGGGTTCTGGAGTTGGTCACAAACTGGTAAGCTAATTCCCATCTTCTGAGCATTGAACTATTGCATTGGTTCTTTGGCAATGATTTTAGAGCTTTTATGGTGAAACAGTCATCAAATAGAAGTTGGTGGGATAAGGCATGTTGTGCAACTGGTTTTTCTTTGCTAGTTTTAACATCATGTCGATGGCCGTTCATGCGTTTTCGGAGAGTCTCGGTTGTTAGGCCTATGTACTGGGCTGGACAATGTGAACATTGAAGCTGGTAGATAAGGTTCTCTGAGCTGCAGGTATGATGGCCTTGGATTCTGTAATTTTTATTATGGTGTGTGCTGGTAAAAGTTTCTGTAGGATGGTGTATCTGGCAAGATTTACATCGGTTTTCATTGCATGGGTATGAGCCCGGTCTTGGTTTCTCAGATGGTATTTTTGATGGATTTGGGAGTTTTGGGTGGACTAGCATATTCCTCAAATTTGGGGGTTGCCTATAGATTATGGAAGGGGCTCTTGAAAGGAGGTTTTTGGTTTGGCTGGAGGACTCTAGGATTTTGAAACCTGTTTTAAGGAGGTTGTTTAGTTGTTGCAGGCCAGGGTGGTAAGTGGTTATCAAATTTACTTGAAGATGGTTGGTATTTTTCTTTGTAGTTGGACGTGGGTTCTGACCGCTTGGATCTGAGATTTTACGAAAGTGCTAGGATAGCCTCGGTTTTCGAAGGCTTTTTGAAGTTGGGTTTGGTATTGTGTACGGTCTTTCGGTTCTGAAAGACTGTACACAATACCAAAACCAAACCCGGGGGGCTGGCCTTCGTACAAAAATTCCCATATCAATCCCGGGTGATACCTTTGATACAAAAATCCCCATGTCAGTCCCGGAAATACAATAGTTATATTATTCCTACGAAACAATAAGTATTATTCCGCAGATTTAAACAAAAATTCAAATTCCGCCCAGTACACGTTTCTCAATTACATCTCTTTATACTCTTCAATCAATTACAATGAATAATGATAATCTATTTACAATGATTAGGCGATTTCAATACTGTGGATGGCAGAGCGTGGGGTAGGTTGGCAGCACTTCATTCCGCCCGACGGAAAACGCAGTTGCATAAAAGGGTTCCATTTGAACCCATGTAAAAACACGCTCCGACGAAACTCCGAAACTCGGTGGAGTCTAAGTCCTCCGTCGACCTCCGACGGAACGCTGAAACGCGACGAAGATTCCGTCAAGCATAAAAGGGTCTCATTTAAACCCATGTTAAAACACTCACCAACGGAAAGCCCGATAGATTCTGATAGATTCCGCCCGACGGAAAACGCCGTGCATAAAAGAGGCCTAAGGACATATTCTTCCCTTAGATGACAATACTACATTGCTCATCAAAGTGATTAAGCTCTCTTCAGGGTGTCTACCAACCGGGAAAACCGGGAATTGTACTTAAATTTTTACTGGCCATGAAATGTAGGGAATTGTACTTAAATGCCAGACTACGTCCTTAAATTTTTAATGGGCCATAATTTTATTGATCGCTAGTTGGTTAGGAGCACATAAAAGGTTTATCAGATGTTTGTTTACATTTTCATAATTTATTACTAGAGTAATTATGCAATAAAAATCCCATTAACAATCTCAAACCCATTAATATTTTATCACGACAATCAAGTTTCAAGTTAAGTACTTCCAAGAACTGTTGGCTCAGCAGCTAGCTCATAAAAGTTGTGTCACTTTTATTCCTTTACAACTTCTTTTTTTATTACTAGGGTAATTATTATTAGATCCCAAACCTATTTTATCATGAAAATAATAGCTTTATAATGGCTGTTAAATTTCACTTCTTACTTGTACTTTCTGAAGATTCAATTTGCCGCGGCCAGTGCCTAGTGCCATAAAACTGTTTATGGTTTCATATTAAACATGTAAATAATCTACAGTCTTATTTTGTAAGTTAACCCCTTTTTTATGGACAAAACCTTCAATTGACAAAACCACAAGCATTGTTGTTTGCATTAATGTTTTATCACTATGTAAGACTGCTTGGTTTCAAATTATGTCATTGCATTTTCTGTATCTTTGTATTATATTGTTGGCTATTCAGGTTTCAATGTTTTTTGTTTCCCATATATTTATTTATTGAGTTGTATGCTTTAAGCAATCTAAATCTTATGAACTAGAATGATGATAGTGACTTTGCTGCTATTATAACCTCATTGTTTGTTACTCAGTTTATATAGGCCCTCCTAAATAATTAGGTCTAGGCCTGGGTAATTTGACTCTTGAAAGAGCTGTAAAATATATTAAGAAAATGTAACTGAGCCTAAGATAAACAACTAATGATTGCTATGTGTCGATATTACTTTGCAAATGAAAATACAATAATCCATACCTTGATTTTGTACTAAGAATTGAGTAACAATATGCATTAAAGATGTTTTTCAAACGTAGTCAAGAACCTAACGTTGTGCCAGGGCGAATCATGCCAAATTAATCGGCCTGGATCGGATAAGCTATGTTATCAAGTTTACATGACCGATGGAGATATTTATCGCTATCGCAGGAGACAATGTTTGCATTTCTCTGTTACACTATACAAGCTTTACCTAAAGTATAGGTAGGCCTATGTTTGTTTACTTTCAATCAATTTCTATTTTGTAATTTTTAACTCTTATATATTATTATTTACTTTTCTCTCTGGTACAACTACAGTGAATAACAAGATTAATACAGTTTGACAAATCAGGAAAATTATTCTGTAGGCATAATGACACCGACAAAGATTACGGCAAAGTGTCCTTAAATGTACGGGAATTGTCCATGAATTTTTTATCCAGCATGTAGTAGACACCCTGTCTCTTGTGCGGGATGTAATTAATAATGTAGCCTACTCTAAAAGTAGTGTTTGCTCAAAACAAAACCACAGGTCTCATTTTATCAAAACCATCAATACTTTTGTGTCAAATTGCAATTCTATTTCTTTAAAATTCATGATGTAGCCCCTGAACTGTTTAATTAGACTAATATGAGGTACATACCTTTACGTCAACAGTTCAATTTTGTCGTAAGTGGAACTCACTACATGTTTCGCCTATTCAGGCATCGTCAGGTGATATCCTAGCAAGAATGCTTTGTCATCATCCATGATGGGGTCGTCAAGAAACATTTAAATAAATACACACACAAGGTGTGTATTTATTTTACTTATTTACTCTGATAACGGAGGAGGGGTCGGTGTTACATAATTCCAGCATGTTCAGTCTGCCTCCGTACCGCGACCGGTAATAGTAGGCCTACAAATTAATTGTTAAATGTTTTTGTGCGTAATGTGTGTGTATTTATTTAAATGTTTCTTGACGACCCCATCATGGATGATGACAAAGCATTCTTGCTAGGATAACACCTGACGATGCCTGAATAGGCGAAACATGTAGTGAGTTCCACTTACGACAAAATTGAACTGTTGACGTAAAGGT